CCAGGTTTTTAGAGCACCTGAGCAGAAGCATTCCCCTATAACCAAGAACACGTACTGAAAATTAATGGGACCTTTTAACTATATTGATGCACAGTAATAAGAAATATTTTTATTTTTATTTATTACAAGCAACTTACAGTAATATTTAATAGGTCAATTTCCAAATTGGGTTTTTTAGAAATGCTTCAGTCACGGTAAATCAGGATTTTATCACTAGATGGCGCATGACACTCATCATCCAATTGGTCAGTATAGAAAGCTGTTTCTGAGAGATTATAAACCTAATTGTCCTTAATTCCAAAACATATATGAATTTTAACTTTAAATGGAATTACTGTATAATGATTATTTTTATTAAAATAAGTTATTCTTTATTTTCTGTATTTTAGGTGAAAGAATAACACAAAGTAACCCTTGTGTATACTTGCTCAAGATTTACCAATTATTAACATTGATATGTTTGCTGTATATCTCTATATTATTTTTTCTAAATAATTTCAGAGTGATCTGTAGACATAAAGCACCTGTCAGTACTTCAACATGTGTCTTATGAGAACAAGCTCATTATCTTATATTATCATACATTATCAAAAACTGGTACATTGATATCATATTATCTAATACCTAGTCCACATTCAAATCTCCCAATTGTTCCCATAATGTTTTTTATAGCTGTCTTATTTTCTTTTTTTTAAGATTTTATTTATTTATTTATTTATTTATTTATTTATTTATTTATTTATTTATTAGAGAGGGGAAGGGAGGGAGAAAGAAAGAGAGAGTAACATCAGTGTGTGGTTGCTTCTCATGTGGCCTGCAACCCAGGAATGTGCCCTGACTGGGAATCGAACCTGCGATGCTTTGGTTCGCAGCCCGTGCTCAATCCACTGAGCTATGCCAACCAGGGTTTAGCTGTCTTATTTTCTATTCAGGATCCAATCAAAGATCACACATTGTATTTGGTGCCATACCCCTTTTTTGTTGTTATATCTTCTTAACCTTCTTTAACTCAGAACACTTTCCCTACCCTTCCTTTTTAACATATGACGATTCTATATAAATATACAAATGCACATATATATTTACATATTAAAATTTAATTGATAATTATTTACTTCCTTTACCCACTGAAAGTCTAATATTTTTAGGCAGACAATGTAACAACTCTAGTTATAAACATTACCCAAAACTGGTGAAATAAAAAAAGTATGTCTAAATGTAGCTGTTCTGTATGTCATGTATAATAAAAATCCATATTGAAATTTTTCAGGTAGCTGTTATTATGAACTTTTAGAACATGAACAGATTGTGTTTTTTGTTCATTTTAAAAATCTCTGTCCCCAGTACAGATAATTTGAATGTGGCTGAGACTCAGTACATGTTTGGGGGGATAGTGAATGAATGGTCTCTCTTTCTGTTTTATTTTAGTGAAATATACATAAGGTCAAATTTATGATTTTAACTATTTTTTTAAAGATTTTATTTATTTATTTTTAGAGAGGGAAGGGAGGGAGCTAGAGAGAGAGAAAGAAACATCAATGTGCGGTTGCTGGGGGTCATGGCCTGCAACCCAGGCATGTACCCTGACTGGGAATCGAACCTGCGACACTTTGGTTCGCAGCCCGCGCTCAATCCACTGAGCTATGCCAGCCAGGGATTTTAACTGTTTTATGTGTACAATTTAGTGGCATTAAGTACATTCACATTGTTGTGTACTGTTAAAATAACAAGGGATATATATGTTAATTGACAAAAAGTTCTTAAATAATCAAAGAGAAAAATGATTTAAATTCCCCTCAAATTCTAGCATCCATAGAAAACCCGGACCTAGTCACTCTTAATATTTTGGCATATACCCTTCCAGATTTCTTTATGTATATTTATACTTATCTGAGTAGTATACATACTGTATCATAACCTGCTCCTGTTTCCTTAACGCATAGTCAGTATTTTCCATGGTAATAATTAGAAATAAATGCATCAATTCTGGTCTTGCTAACAAGACTAAATACAGATGAATTTCGTGCATTATTTTTTCCCTCTGAGCACAGTGGATAACAACACTAGTTGAGGGCCTGGACTTTTAGCTATGGGGCTACGTGTAATTTGGGGATTGCAGAAAGGATTGAACAGCTTTTGCTGAGATCCATCTTTAGTTCAGGAGTCTATTGACAGTGCTTCACCAAGGGAAAAGACAAGAACAATCTATGCCATTTGAATGGAATGTCATTTGAAACCAAAATCTTCTGGAGAACTTGTTATTGAATGCCTGGCTCTCTTTATTACTGATGTGGAGGAAACATATTGAACAACAAAATGGTAATGCTCACTACCAGAGACTAGACCTTACCTGATGGCTGGTAGAACCAATGCAGGGGGAAAAAATTAATGAGACTGTTGCTAGGAGACGGGAGAGCCAAAGCTCATGGCATTGTAGGGGTTTCACTGGAAATTAAGGCAATTTAAGTGTGATTTGTATCAGAGGTTTAGCTATTAAAGTCTGTCCTTTGATGAGCATGTGTTTTTTAGCATGTAATGCTTTATATGTTTTTATGGTTTTGGAGGAATTTTGAGGGTAATCCCAAGGCATTTCCCTTTCTTTCCACAGGGACAATCCCTTCTTCAGAGCACAGCCCATTTTCGAGTGGCTGCTGCCGCTTTTCTCCCACCCCTTCCGTGCGACAGCCTCAGAGCTGGTGCGGAGGCAGAGCTCAGGCTGCTGGTAAGTAGCTGAGAAATCTTTTGTAGAATAAATATCCAAAATATGCATTCTAAAGCAAGTGGCATGTTTTCATGGAATAGAATAATACATAGCTGTGTAGGAATTTCTGATTCTAATCAGTGGCATTGGGGAAATGGGTTAATTATGTTCCAAGTATTCCACCGTCACTTTTCTAGTATAAAGCTTGTGTCTTAAATGGTGAATGAGTTGCTGGAAGAAAATATAGAAACTTCCCCCTTGTGATTCTGGTAAGATATTTCCCAAAATAAGACTTGACGAAGATGTCACTAAAATGAGAAATTACATTCGGAGCGATATTTCAGCTTTACGATGTTTGGATTACACGTGATAAAATAGGTTGCAATTCAATATGTTCTAAGAACTGATCCTTTCTCAGTGTGGAGGGAGCAAGAGAAAAATGTTATTTTGCAATGGGGAAAAAGATTACTACCATTCCTTATTTAAAAAAATTAAAGAATATCGTGTGACTGATGTCTGTACAGGAGAGAAAGTAAGAAGACGGACAGCCTGTAATGTTCAGATTAATTACTTCATGTGAGAGATGAGTGTGTGTTGAATGAGGAAGATCAAAATTTGGTTTTACGATGAAAAATCATGAAGAAAGAATAATGAACATTGTGACTGTGCCTTTATTTTGAAAAGAATTCATTTTTATTTGTAGGCATCAATTTGTACAGTAAACAGTGTTTTTTTTTTCTTTGAAAATGGATGTAAGAAGGAGAGCAGAGATTTCTATCCACAAAGATTTTCTGTATGTTTCTGAAATGTGCCTAAAAATGTGTAAGATGCTGTGTGTCCTTTTGCCTGGAAATTTCTTTTGTAGATCTGTTTCTTCAAGGGGGGAAAAATGGAAAAAATGATAGCTAAAGTGGTGGCTTTTTATTTCTTTGAAATTCAGATTGTTTTGACACTTCCTCAGGAAAAAGAGAAAAAACAGCTACGTAGTTTTTTGAGTTAGATGACAAAGCAGCAATCCAGGAAGAAAAATGAGAATGAAAAAGCTGAAAGGAAAGTCCACAAAATGGACCATTTTTTTTTTCAAGCTGCAAATGTCTGCGGGTAGCATGTTTGCAGGGGGAAGAGGGGAGAGTATATTGAAGGCAAAGGGAGGGGGTAATGAACAGAGCACTGCGGCAAAGAGAATGACTGACGCACCCAGGGACATGTGACCATTCTCCAGTGTAGTGAAGAAAATTTTCCAGGAGTCCATCTTGTATAAGAAATTCTGTACCTACTAACATTCAAATAAGACCAGAATTTTTATATAGTAGGTTCTGACTTGGTTTTGCTTGGTTCTCTGTCAGTATGTACATGGGTGCGTTTCATCTTTGCTTTGTATTGTCTTCATTCCAAGACTTTCTTTTCTGTGCTCCCACCGCTCTTATAACACTTATTAAAGTATCTTGTTAAAAATGCTGTCTTTCCCCTTTACATCATAAAAATATCATATAGTCATTGCAGAAAATTTGGAAAAATATAAAGATGGCTATAAAAATTACCCATAATCTCATGACCTAGAGATAATTACTATTAACATAATTGTTGTCAGTCTGTCTTCTGTGAATACATGCAAATGAATAGAAATATGGAGAAATTTCTATGCATTTGATATAGATATTTATATATATAATGAAAGTCATATGTACATATAGTTTTCAATCTGCTTTAATCATTAAACAAGGTATTGGAAGAAATTCCCCATACTTTGCAATATTCCACAAGAATGTGATGCTTTGTGGAGGCATAATCTTCAGTCACATAGGGTCTCGTTAAATGTCCGATTATTGAGTGTTTGTTTACATGTGCAATTTTTGCTGTTATAACTTACCACATACATCTCTGTGTACTTTTCTGTTTCCTCCTTTAGGATAAATGTATAGATGTGGACTTCTTGGATTAAATGGTAAGGTTTCTTCCCCTGCACTCAAACCTTATACATATTGCCTAATTTATTTATCATATGTGATAAAAACATTATTTTCCCATTATTTTTTCCTATTGATTTTTTATCACTTATGGTGGGGCTGTTTTTAGATGTCACACTGTTATATTTTTAAATGTCCATAAGTATCGGTTTTTGATTTTTTATTTATGTGTTTCCTTTGATGAACATATTCACCTGTATTTTGCCCCTAGCCATTTCATTGCTTCCTTTTCTACAATTATCTCTAATCATCTGAAATTCATTTTGGTGTATGCTATGAAGTAGGATCTAATTTTGTTTTTTTTCCAAATAGGTCACCAATTGTTTCAGCATCATTTATTGAATAATCCAACCTTCTTCCACTGATTTGAAATGACAACGACTGTTCTCTCATTAGGTAGGGTGTAGCTTTCCACAGGTCGGCCATTTTCTCTCTACCTAAGATAGTTACATTCCACAATAGTACTCCTACTTTCTTGCAGCTTCTGGAAGCCTTCTAAATTGTCATGTTCATGCTTATGCTCTTCACGAATTCTAGGCACATGAAGTTTAGGGCAGTGGTTTTCAAACAGGATTTACAGTTCTTCACAATTTAAAATTTTTATTTTTCCTTAGAATGTTTTTTACAAATTGAAATGGAGGAATCCAAATGTATAAAACCACTGCTCTGAATGTGCTGTTCCTCTGAGTCACACCTGACATTCTAATTGTGTGTTCAAAAACTAACATCCCCCTGGGCTTAGTATTATTCCTAAGGTTCTTCCTTCAACCTCTTATTCTACTCTTCAGGTATGTGGAGAATTAAAGCTGTCTAGACTCAGTTCCTGGAATTATGTAAGATGGAAATGTAAAAAGTGTATGAGGAGCAGAAATAATGTTTTCCAGCCTGTTTCTGGCAGTATTCTGATCTAGGGACTTAAAGGGGTTAGGGCAGGTCATAACCCATAGCACCTGTGCCGCCATTTCTTGTAGATAGTAGCATATCTCAGTGGTTCACCTCCTCACTGCAGGCAGAAGGCTCAAGCATAAAACAGCGAGTCTTTTAGTGGGAGATGGGTTAAATGTTGCTCACAGAAATACTTGACCATTAAAGTTACCTGCCACCCACTGTTGACCGTCCACCTCCATTCCCCACACAGCCTTCTTTCTCTGTTGATTTTTGAGCTGGCCCCTCGCCTTTATTGCTTCTGAAAGAAAGCAAGGGGGCATGGGTGGGAGGATGGCTTGCCTGCTCTTATTGCAAGGGGCACCTTTGGCTCACAGCCACAGCCCCAGTCATTTCTTGACTTGCCGAAGTAGGCTAGGATTTGTTTGTGAGTTGAGGCTGGTTTCCCTGGCAACAGCAGCTTGCCAAGGCTTGCCCATTCCCTCCTGTTCAGTGGCAAAATGAGGCTGCAAAGGCAAAAGAGTGGTCTTGGGGGCCAGAGTCGCTGAGGGAGTTATTCTTCGGTCAGGATATTATTTTTTCTGGGCTAAGCTGTATACAATCATTATTGTATAAAGAGCATTGTATTTTTTTTTTAAGCCTTGGAAGGGTTACAACTACCTCCTTCTTCTTCCTCTCAAATTACCTGCTCTCAGTATGTCCACCACTGACCATGAACTCTTCCCAGGGTTTGAGGTCACTGACACCCTCGGGGGAGAGGGCAAGGAGATTCATGTGAGCATGGAAAATAGACTGCCTAGTTTCAAACCTCTACCAATGACCATCGCTCTGTGCCTCACTTTCCTCAGATGTAAAATGGGGATAGTAATAGTACCTTTAGAACAGTGTTTGATAATAGTACCTGTTGTGTAAGTTTTGTCCATTCTTATTCATTGATATTGAAGGAGACTTGCCCTGGAACAGACTTTCACTGACACAGACAGACTCATACCCTACTGGTCGCCAGTGACATAGCACAAACCCACGTTTCCCCCTATACTCTTCCCATGGCACACAGACACCACGGCAAAAAGCCTTTGGCCCATAGCACAGAGACATTTCCCATATCACTCAGACCCAGAGGCACACATATTTTCCCCAAAGCAAAAAGACTCATGTAAGGGACACAGAAGCACCTGATCCTAAAGACTCTACCCGTGGCACATGGACAACCTCAATATTACGGACTGTGCCCATGTGACACAGGCCCTTCCCCTGGCATGCAGTCTCTCTACAGCACTCACACTTACCCCAGAGAAGACAGATTCTCTCAGGAGTCTGCATATTCTCATGGCAAAAAGGCTCACTCTACGGGACACAGACATTCCTTATAGCACACAAATACTCCCCAAAGCACACAGACTCTCGTCACAGGACATGGACTCTGACTGTGGTGTATAGACTTCCTACAGCACAAAGATTTCTGCACAGCACACAGATACTCCACAGTACAGGAGATACTTCCCGCATCACAAAGATTCTCCCCACAGCACATCTTCTCCGGATGCCGCAGTGACTAAACCCACAGCTAAGATTCTCCACAGGGCACACACTCCCCTCACATCACATGGACCCTCACCAGACTTCATCCCAAAGCACACACAGCCTCCTCAGGGCACACAGCCTCACCCCACAGCACTCTTAGGAGCATGTCCTTATGTTGTGGGGTGAGTCTGTGTCTTGGGAGGAAGCCATCCCACAGAACATAGTGTCTACTCACAAAACACAGACTCACACCAGAGCTCACACTCTCCCAAGAACAAAGACTTCCCCCCAGGACACAGTTCATGGCATAGCTTGAAGACCCAGACAGAGAGACACAAAGACTCTCCCATGACAGATGGACTTGCTACACAATACACAGACCATCCCCAAAGAACATGAACTTGCCCCATGGTACCCAGACGCTGCCCACATCAAGCAGACTCATCCCACAAAACACAGACTGTGCCCACAGCACAGAGAATCTCCCACGACACACAGATTTTCCCCACAGCCAAAAGATTCTCCCCACAGAGCACGGCATGTCTCACAAAGTGAGGTGCCACACAACACATAGACTCTCCCTACGGCCTATAGATAATACCCCACAAACACAAATTGTCTTCATAGGACACATGTCCTCCCCTTGGCACACAGAAACCTTGTCACCTCTGGCAACTAGTCCCAGGATGCATGGCTTCCTCCCAAGACACAGACTCACCCCACAACATAAGGACATGCTCCTAAGAACCCAGACTCCCCCCTACAGCTTCAGGACTGGGCCCGTGGTACATGGATTAAACCCATAGCACAGAGACTCTCCACACAGCGCTCAGACAAGCTCATCCACAGCATGAAGATGCAGCAGTACGGGTTACAGCCCATGTATCTCCTATGATTGTCTCGGCACAACACACAGCCTTTCCCTTCAGTGCCTCACTTATTTTACAACAAACACAGTTATCACACAGTGCAAATACTTGCCTCATGGTGCACTCACTTACCCAGCAACATCCAGTCCCTCGCCAACCGTGCAGTTACCATACAACACACACTGTGGCCCTGTAGCAACAACACACACCCTGAATTCTTCAGACAAAGTTCAGTAAATGGACACACTTCACAATGCACAGCATTACATCACAGCATGCAAACTGGCCCTTTGATGAGCAGACTTGTTCAACCACAGACACACTCATGGCACAGTCACACCTAATCTCTTCCCCAAGTGTTCAGATGTGCCTGAGATCATAGAAACACTCATTTCACAGCATTGATGCAACTCATCCCAGATGAGCATACATACAAACACATCCCACAGCACAAATCTCCACCCCTATATGCACCAAATTGTGTCGCAGCCCACACTTGCCATAAAAATTTACTTCACCAAAAGCACACTCCTGCTCTGGCTGGTGTAGCTCAGTGGATTGAGTGCTGGCCTGCGAACAAAGGGGTCACAGGTTCAATTCCCAGCCAGGGCACATGCCTGGGTGGTGACCCAGGTCCCTGGTGGGGGTGGGGCATGTGAGAGGCAACCACACATTGATGTTTGTCTCCCTCTCTTTCTCCCTCTCTTCCCCCTGTCTAAAAATAAATAGAATTTTTTTTAAAAAAACACGCTCTTTATGGTGCTTACACAGTGTAACACATACTCCAAAACACTTGCAACCATTAGCTCTACCACTCCCACATTTACCTCAAAGTGCAGAGCTTTTTTCCCTGCTCACGCTGCTGCCCATACACAAGACACACCCAGAATTCCACCACATTGTGTAGATCCTCCCATCAGTGTGCACACTTGCTCCGCAACTCACACAAACACTCACAAACACTGAGACTCACCCTAAATATATAGACAAGCCCTTTGGGACATAGACTTGCCCCACAACATAATCACACCCACAAAGCTTAAAATCCACAGGCATGACTGCAAATGCGTAGATTTCTGCACTGCACATAATTGCCTCACAACACAGACTGACTCTGAAATGGAAAGCCTGCAGTGCACATAAACATTCTCCAGTGTGCAGAGAGCTCCATAATAATTTACAGACATGCTTTACCATACTATTGAGCTGCCACTCTGGCTACAGCAGATGCACAGCTTGTGTAATGGTTAAGAGCTTGGCCTCTGGACCCATACTACCTGGGTTTGAATACAGGTTCTATTGCTTTCTAATTGTATTACCTCGGGTAAGTAAGTATATTTCTCTGTTCTTTAGTTTGCTCATCTGTAAAACAATGGTAACAATAGCATCTACTGAAAAGGGTTGTTGTGAGTATTAACTGAATTGAGATATGTCAAGTGCTTATTACAGTGCCTGGTACATAGAAACTATTAAAATTGTTCATACAGGGTCCGGCAGAAGTAAGGCCTGCTTGAGTGCACTTGATAGGGAAATACTATGGGTATAATAATTTATAATTTTAATTTGAACATTCCATCTAAAATGTCATATGGTGTGCTTGAGTGTGATATTGTTATGTTACAGAATGACATGCTTATGATTTTGTAATAAAAGATTTTGTAAGAAAAAGGGGCGTTATTTGTGCTGGACCCTGTATATTTCTGTCCACCCTCCTCCCCTCACCATTACTGCTAAGGTGAAAAGGGTCTAACTCTAATACCTAGAATCATGTGACAGCACAAAGATTCAACACATGACACAGAGACTAGCTCCAGAACATCTATAAACACTCCACAGCATGCAGGCCCCTCATTACAACACCCACATGCTGCACAGAACACAAACGGAACTGCAAACCAGGTGCCACCCACGGCACATGGAACTGCATCACGATTAAGAAATTTGCTATGCAAGGCACAGGCTTGCTCCATAATACACATATTCATTCCACAATGCCCATACTGCATGCATCACACCCAGCCACATCCCACAAGACAGTCTCACAACACAACACAATGAACACATACACAAGTGCCCCCTACAAGTCAGCAAGAAGCCCTGTATTACACAAACACCTCC